AATGAATGTACAAATGTGCTTTACACAATTGATGTATGTATGGATTGTGATAAGAGTTGTATGAGGCCCTAATAAAACGATAAAAGAGTTGTATGAGCCCCTAACAAAATGATTAAAATTTAAAAAATGAGGACAGCATATGTACAAACTTGCATGATTCAATTGACGAATGGATTGTGATAAGAGTTGTACGAGCCCCCAATAACATGATTAAAAAATAAATAAAAAATAAAACACATGAATAAAATCTCTTTCCCTCTCACACACACACAGATAAAAAGACGTGAGAAAAAAAGATGAGGGTGCTTCCAGGGTTCCTTATAGCTTTGTTTTTATTTCCTATTTCAAATTCCATCCTAAGACCTGGCTCCATCCTTGTACTTGATTTTTATGAATGATCCCCACATTCTCACTAAATATCTTTCTTTACATCCTATGGAAGTCCTTACAAATTCCACTCCCCAAGTACTTAACTTTATTACGTGTGCTGAATCATCTTTCTAAAGCACAATTTCCACTATGTCATATACCTCAATGAAAATCTTTCAACAAAGCCCCACTGTCTCGCCACAAGATACAAGGTCCTCCACAAGCAGATCCCTGCCCATCCTTCTATCTACTCTTTCCCCACCATTCCGAACTCCAGCAGTAGTACCACACTCCTGTTGGATTCTAGAACAAATCATGGCACTTGTTACTTCTAAAATTTCATTGCTTCATCTACCAGGTGATCTCTAATTCATTCTTAAAGCCTTGCTCAAGTGGGATTTCCTATAGGAAAAAACCCACAATGACACTAGCCGTTTTCCTGCTCTATCTCCAACTGCAGTTAATGCTACTCATGTACATTTTGCCTTACCATAAAATTACTTTAGTGTGATTTCTAGCTCTGCAATTAAATGCCAGTTTTTCTGGGGTTTTGTTGTTTGTTTTAAATTAAAAGATCATTTTATTGGGGGCTCTTACAATTCTTATAAAATGCCAGTTTCTTAGCCATGAAATCTATATTCTATTCTTGCATTTTCTTAGATATAGCTGTACCAAATTTTTATGTATTTTCTTCTTCAATCAAGAAATAAAAATGACAGAAATGTGAAGTAAACGCAGTTAACTGCTGGAATAGCAGTTTATAGTGAAGGAGTCGTAGCTACTTCTGTTGACACTCTGACAGTGAACTTCATTCTCCACCCCGAAGCACATGCATGATTCAAACTCAAAAGGCAATTGTGTGAACTTCGTCAGAGAGCTAATCTACGATAAATAAAATGGCTCATGACCCCTTACCTGTGTATTCTGGATAACAAATTGTTAATGGACTCTTCCTTATTTTTTCCTCAAAAAGGTCTTTCTTGTTGAGAAAGAGAATGATTGAAGTGTCTGTAAACCATTTGTTGTTACAAATACTGTCGAACAGCTTCATGCTTTCGTGCATTCGGTTCTGGAAAGGAGCAATGGGACAGCGGGTCAGTAACACAAAGGAACATGGAAGAACTGTTAGTGAAGGGGCGGGCTGGGGCTGGAGTAGAAGACCAGCACGTTTTTAAACACGAATGGCATTCGTGGGAGGAAGTCAGACGGTGAGCACAAAGGCGGCGGGCCGGTCTTCACTGTGGAGACTTGGTGTGGAAAGAGGGTCGACTGACAGAGCTCACTGTGGCGGTCGCATCTCTCTTAAAGATCAGTACTCGTAAAATCTCACCAACACAGAGGAAAACGAAGGAACGCTAAGTCTTGCTTCAATACCAAATGGATGCACCAAGTTTTCCTAAGAGTATTTTCCATTTCCTGGCTGCATAAAATGGGCTTTTTCCAGGGGTCCCCACATACCATCTCCTCATCCTCAGCCAGAACAAGGTCGTAATCACTGAGCGCCACACAGAAGATAATTGCCGTCACTCCCTCAAAACAGTGAATCCACTTCTTCCGTTCTGATCTTTGGCCACCTACGTCAAACATCCTGAATAAGAGGGAAAAGCAAGCACAGATTCACCAAGTTCATACAGGTACTTCTCCCTGCATACTGATGACAGAAAAGACACACACGGAGCTGACACAATGGAGTCAAGATAGCTGTCTGCGATCAAAAGTAAAACGGGAACCAGTCAATCACACCAGAACACAAAATTGGAATCCTTATTTTACATAAAAAGTTGAACCTCCTCTTCATTAAAGCTTATATTGGATGTGCCAAAAGTCAGCCAAATTAGCACTGACATGGAATAAAGGAAGAAGGGGGAAATCTAGGGCAAATGAAGTGCTGGATAATACAGTCTAAGATTAGTGATGATAATAATGATCCTAGTATTAACAATATCAATAACAATAATTCAGTGCTTACAAAGTGTCACACACCACCTTGGAACACCTTACATACAGTAAGTCACTTTATTCTCATACTGATCTTCTAAGCACTATTTCCATCACCCTTTTTTTATAGATGAAGAAACCACGGCACAGGTGTGTTAAATGATTTGCCCACTGCACACTGCTAACAGACTAGGGGGTATGAGCCCAAGCACTCTGCAGCTCCACACCCTAAGCTCACAGTATCATTCTACCTCCCAAAATAGACTCATCTCTACAGTTAAAAGAGAACCGTGGAAAAAAGTAAAGAAACCCTTCAACTTTCCCTCTGCTCCCATAATCTCTCATTACTTGATTCACGTTTTCCTTACTTGGGGGGGAGGGGAGGTTTTAAAGATTCATCGTGAAAAATTAAATCAAATCTTCCAGAACCTGATGAACCTTATATTTAAAAACAAAATGTAACCAGTATTTCCAAACTCCAGCAAATTTTATTTGAACCTATTAACAACAAAGCCTCAATCGCTCCCACACTTCATTTCCACACCCGGTTACTTTAACTTACGACTCCCTTCTGGGGGGCTTCCTGATTCAACTCCTGAGCTTCTGTCAACAGTGCCCTCATCTAACTCCTACAGCAAGTGAATACTTGTGTGCTTGTGTTTCAGTGGACACTAAAGCCTGCATGAGAATGATAAGACATTCTTAAGAGCTTAATGACAATGAGAAGATTTTAAACAGCTAAACTCTGCCAAGCTGGTGTGTCAGCTACTCAGTGACTGAAACCAAACCAAGCTCCCTGGACATGGAGTAGATTCTGACTCATCGTGACTCCGAGAGACGGGGAGAAACAAGCTACAGTTGGTGTCTTCTCGGTGCATGTGTGAAAGTGAACACTCATCCCAGCCTCATGAGCAAGTGTTCTCTGCTGGCTGCACTTGCACAGTCCTTTCGCCTCTGGCTGTGACGCACAGAGTGATGCAATGACACCCCGCCTTAGTCCACAGTCCTTGTATCATACACTGTAGGAGGGCTGTCACCATACATTTCGACACAGGAGTCTTGCAAGAGGAAACACACTGGGCACACCAATCATCTCTGGTTACTTCCCCATTTTCTTCTATAAAGTCTAGAACTGACAGAACATAGTCAAGTTCCAAGGTGAGCTTTATAACATGTTAACAATTATACCATCCACTAACGCCAACATTTTAGAAGTATCACCTCATAAATGAGAGGCAAGTAAGAAATTATACAATGTTCTGCAGAGTCGATGCTCAGTCAAGGTTTGATTAAACAGAGAGTGGTTTTGCCTAGAGAAAAGAGGAAAAGGAAGAAGTGATAGTACTGTGTAACAAAACATACATGCCAACGATAAACCATGTGGCGCACCTTTATCATACGTGTCTCTTGATCCTGGTAGGGCTTACCTAAGATCAATCTATGACAACCTCAACAAGAAAGTTCCCCACACTAAAGAAAGAAAGCGATCATTATAGATGGACTGCTAATCTTAAGAGTGTACACAAGAAGTCTCTTCTCTGGCTTCCTAGGTATTACTCCAGGTGACTTTTCTGGCTCCTAACTTCCTCGGTACTGAAGATACATGGGTGCTCCATTCTAAAAGCATTCCGCCAAACTGCTCTTTTCCTACACTCGGATTGAAACCTGGCTGGGTGGATTTAGATTTCAAGACCTCAGCTGCTGTCTAGCCAGCACATCACTCTTGGGGACTCTACATACACGCCAGTCACAGCTGCAGTTCAGGCCATTGTGACCCACGGTGTTTCCATCAACTGCTTTTCAGAAGCAGAACTCCAGGCCTTTCCTTTCTTCCCCGTCTTAGTCTGAAAACTCTGCTCAAGCCTGTTCGCAGAGCACACAACTTCAGTAACAGCTAAGTGGTTGGGTGGTTGGCTGTGTAGGATTTAAACAGCTCTCCCACAAGGTGAGCATTCTACCAGTGAGCCACACATTCCTTCTAATGCAGAAATCCCTTCATGAGCTGCACAAATCCGGAGGAGCAACTCTCTTCAGAGAACAGAAACTCTAAAGGTTCTGAGGCAGTCGTTCCAGTTGCATGCAACAGTGCTGAGTAGGACATTCTACAAAAGAGCACAGTATGACAGCTAACACTGTATCACACATTGCGGGCGGTGGAGTACGTACAGTAGGGGGTTCGAAGGTCACAAAAAAAAGCAGAAAAATGGAACCCAAAGCGAGTTCTGAGAAGCCAGTAACAAAGAGACAAGCTGCAGCCTACTTTAGAATTACTTTTGCTGGTGAGAAAATCCTTTGTATCTGAATACTCGAATTCTCTCTCTCTGAAAGCAATCACTGTTTCTATGTCACCACCCCTCCCCCAAATACCTCTCTCCTCAGGCCAATTTCCCATGTGCACTGTATTAAAAGTAAGAGCTTAAGTTGTGCATCTGCAGAAGACCAATCAATCCGAGAGCATGGCAGTGGGAGCTCCCTGCCATGAAGCTGGAAGGGCAAGGCTGGTCAGTAGGAAGACGGCACTGGTGAGAAAGGCATTTCTATTTTAATATCAAGATGGTACAGCGAGCCACGTAACTACACCACAAAGGCTGGGTTTCTATTCTCTTAGCGCTGCTGCTATCCTTTCAAACAACAAACAGTCAATACCTGTTTTGGTGATTCCAACAAAAAAGCAGCTGAAAAGAATAAGATTACAAATAAAATAAATCGGCAACCACATGATCAATTCTGTAGGTAGGAAAGTCACAGTTTAATTTTGAATTTAAAATCCTCCAAATGAACAAAATATTTGGTGTTATTTAGAGAGAGCAGAAATGTTTGAGCCATCCCACTACCACCACCGCCAGCACCACCACTACTTATTTAAAACATTTAAATTGTGGCTGATGAATATGATAAGTTTCTACCTAAGAAATATCCCCTAAAGTAATTTTACTAGTTAAGCGATACTAAGTAAAGATACTTCTTTTTGGCACACTAGCAAAAAGGCTAATGACTTACTTGAAGTATAAGTCCTTGAAGGTGAAATGCGTTTCCACGATGCCTGTTGTCTTCACTCTTGTCCGAAGGACATCTTGTTGAGTTGGAATATAGTTGGCTTGAGATATTCGATCCAAGTCATTTAGGTAACTAAACAAAACACACATTTACTTTTACCTGGGGAAGTAAACTACCTGCACAGTAAACCAAGAGATTAAACATGTTTCTTACCAAAAAGAGATCCTGAATCTGTCACGACAGTAGTCAAACAGCATTACAGAAATGACCGCGGGAGAAAATGGGAACCCAGCATCAGGCAATGTGGGTTAGGTTCTATATATATATTACACAAAAGCAGTTTTAAGTCTGCAGAACTCAACTACAAAAGCCAATTACCAAAAACAAACACAAAACTGTTATGGAAGATTCTTGAAAGGTAATACCAAGTCAGCTGAGCACAGAAGAGTCCAAAATCCAAAGCACACTGAGAGCTCTCACTGTAATCATGTCGCAGGGCCGACAATAAAGAATGGTGTTTGAATTACTAAAATTAAAGAGAACCACGGTTAATAGAAATGTGTATTTCCTGGGAACCGATTACATGGAGCTGTGTGTGACCTCCTCCCTGGGGGACAGACAACCGAAAAGTGGATGAAGGGAGACGTCGGACAGGGCAAGATATGACAAAATACCCATTTATAAACTATCAAGGGCTCATGCGGGAGCGGGGAGCGGGGAGGGAGGGGAAAAATGAGGACCTAATGTCGGGGGTTTAAATGGAGAGAAAATGTTTTGAGAAACGATGTACAAATGCGCTTTACACAATTGATGTGTGTATGGATTGGGATAACAGTTGTATGAGCCCCTAATAAAATGTTAAAAAAAAAAAAAAGAAAAAAAGAAATGTGTATTTCCTGTTTTCAATCAGGAAGCAGGAGAGCATGGTTTTTTTCTTCATCTAAGTGTTAAACAAAACAAAATCCCTCAATTTCCTCCAAAGAAATTTAATTTGTTCAGTATATTAAAAGATTGGCTTCAAAACTACCTTCTTCACTAGCGCCAGGTGCCAAAGGAAGTTTTAATTAGAAAACTGAAAAGCAGGTGGCACCATTTAAGTTAATCATTAATGACTATCCATAAAACCAAGAGCCACCATGAAGGGATCAATCAAGTTAAAGTTGATTGTGAGCTAGTGAGGACAAGGAATCGCGGTACACTGAAAGAGTGGAGGTGATGTTGAAAAGTGCTCTCATCCAGCCAGGAGCTCTGATGTCCTAGTAAGTAGATAAGCTCTGCTCTGCTAACTCTTAAGATCAGCAGTTCAAGCCCACCAGCAGCAGCAAAGGGACAAAGATGAAGCAGTCTGCTCTCATAGACGTCCAGCCTTGGAACCCACATGGACAGCGCTGCTGTCCTTGGTCGGAATTGACTTGATGAGTCAGTTTGATTTCTGGAGTTCATTCAGTATAGGTTAACAAGAGGATAGCATTGCATCCAATGTGTGCATTAAATTTTTTTTCTGAAAATTTTTCTGAATATATGCTTATAAACAGGTGCAAAAGCTGCACAACAAAACAGCATGTAAAAAGCTTGCTAAGAATATTACTTTAAAATGTTCTACAATCTTCATCATTTTCTTCCTACATAAAGCCTATTGCTGTGATCTGGCAAAGGAGTTAGCAGTGGTGATTCAAAACCCAAACAAACAGACTCCCTCACTGTGACCCTATAGGACAGAGTAAAACTGTTCTTTGGGATCTCCGAGACTTCACATCTTTATGGAGCAGATCTTTCTCCTGCAGAGCAGCTACCGGGTATGAATTGCTGACCTTGTGATTAGCAGTTCAATGTGTAGCCCACAATACCACTAGCGTTCCTTGAAGCAGTGACTAGTAGTTCCAGAGGAATCCATGGTACTGCCAAGCAACAAGGAGCTGAATGCATAGAAATGGGTATGGGAATTCGGATATCCTCTCAGCTGGCGCTCTCTGCCAAGCACTCATGCAGAGGGAATTCACTGGAACTGGGCGAGGTCCAGGACCCAACTGCAACAGACTGCTCTCTTCCTTCACGTGCTCACGACAAACACAACAGGGGGACTATCATAATGCCAAGCTTCCCATTCACGTTCCAAAAGAAGACGTTTTTCCCTCCAAGTCATACGAAGACCCTAACCCTAAACGGAGACCATCTATAAAGGAACCTATAGAGTGTGTGTTAATTAAAATATTTTAAAGGGCATCCTGGAAGCCTGGTGGTGGAGTGGTTACTCGTTGGTCAGCAGTTTGAAGCCACCAGCGGCAACTCAGGAGAAAGGCGGGGCTAAAGAGTTCATCTCAGAAACTCACAGGGGTCGTCCCACCCTGCCGTTAGGGCCAACAAGAGTTGGTATGGACTCGATGGCAGTAGAGTCTGGTTTTGAGAAGGACATCATGCTCAACAGTAAAGAGGAAACGCCTCAATGAAATGGACCGACACAGTGGCCGCAACAAGTTCAAACATAACGACTGTGAAGACGGTGCAGGACTTACTATGACGAAGAATCATTCAGCTGGTATTCTCTGGATCTGCTGAAGCAGGCTTGCACCCCTCCATCATGCCATAACCGCTTAATTACGCCTGCTAGTTCGGGAGTCATGACTCCTTCTTCAGCACTGCCAGCTAAGACAAATAACTGCCGGGCATCATCCTGAAGAAAGCAGTGAAGAAGGAGAGGTAACTCACTATTCTACAAGAGGCGATGGCCCATTCATTATATGTTATGAATGTTATAATGTTGTTATATATATATATTTTCCAAGTATTAAAGACACCTTTTCCAGAAAGGGCGGCTAAGAGACTTTACAATGAAGTCTTCCCTCCATCACACTCCACCTGAGATGGGACTACAGCACAGAGTTGAAGAATGCTTCTAGAACTCCACAGCATACACCATCCCCTGTGAAGATCACGCTGCCTGGCTCAAAGGATCTCCATCCTGCTTACTCTGCTTTCAACAGAAACAAACAAACGAACTGAGCTGGGAGACAGGCCTATGTAAAAAATCCTGTCTGTTAAGGGAAACTTACACTAAAAATAGAAACAAGGAAACTAACAAATAAGAGAGGCAAAGTCTAAACACACCAGAGAGTAAAACATTAATCAAGCTTAAGGTAAGGCTGCTCAGTCAGCTCAGACAGCAGAAAAGGAAGAGATGGAGGCATTTAAGGAAAAGCCTGGGGAGGGAGACAAGTCCCTTAAGGGAAAAACTGAAGTCGTCTTTAAATGTCCCCAAAGGAATTATAACAAATAACAATTCTGTAAGGAAAGGGCTGGGGACAGTGGGGAGAGAAGTAACAGAGAGAGATGTGGTCAAACCAGGAACTCAGGTCTCATGAGAGGATTTCTTCCCTTCCAATCTAATCTGGCCCGGAGATTTCCAAATAACTCTAATAAAAGTGCAGATAGTTTACAAACAAAATAACAACAAAACAGCCTAAATATTGAGTAAAGAAAAATTAAGGGGAGGGGGGAAGCAATCACCGAATCTAAAATAGTCATTAGAAGAAAGCCAACTAGAAAGCCATGCATTTCAGACAAGAGGTCCCAAGACCTGTTCATTATCAGACCCCGTGCATCTACTTCAATCACCAACCAACACAACTACACACACACACACACACACACACACTCCAATTAATTTTGCCACACTCGGATCTTCAGCCTTTGCTTTTTAAGATCCTTCTGCTGCTGCTCTTTCCCTAAGAACTTGCCCAACATTCTTCCTAGTAATACCTGAAGTTCAACGCTCTAAAAAGTCCTACCAAGAACTATATTCCTCATCTCTTTTCAGAGATAACAATTTTGGATAAAGAAACACTCAACAAGAAGTCCTTGGTTCTGAAAACTGTGATTATGGCAATTATTCAAACAACCTTAATAAACGTACCTTGCTACCAAAAAAATCTGCAATTCTTATTTTAGAAACCTCAAAATAGGGTGGCTGCCATTCTGTATTTTTGCTGTTCTGAATGTAAACAATTCTTTCAGGAGAAAACATCTTTTTCTCTTCCCACTTATTCTCTTTGCCTAACTAGCTCTGGCTTCTCGCCAGTAAACTCTCAATAGGTCTATAGAGACCCTTCTTGACAAGGAACTTCATACCTCTGCCCTTGGGGTACAGATGAAGCACCCTGCCCCACATCTGGATCCGGTTTACCCATTCTCTCTATCCAAACATAAAAAACTAGGAGGAGGATTAAAGATGAGACATGCATATACCGCCCTACATAAGAGAAGAAACGGAAAATCTGGATGGAAGATGCTGTAAAGTTAGGTGACTGGGAAACCCTGAGTGGGAAAATTGCATCTGGAAGTGGCACTTGAGTATTAGGGCCCAAAGACGAATGACAGCTGAATTGATCAAAGCAAAAAGATCAAGAGAAGTACAGACAGACAGACTGGGGAGAGGAAAAAAACTGAGAAAAAAACAAACGAGAGAGAAAGCCTAACACAGGGAAGAGAATAAATGTGCATTATACCACTGATCAGTTAGCTAACACAGCAAATACAACAGACAGGTAGCATTAGGTGATAAAGTGGAGTGAGAAGAGGGCGGGGAAGTAATGCAAGACAAAGCTGGTAGGAAGGCAAGAAAAGCAGGATGTGAGAGAACGAGCTGAAAGGAACAAGAATCAGCAGTGCTTCCTTTTGCATTAGCCCTGCTCACTGGCTTAAAAATGAAGTCTCTCGGTATGTGAGATGGCACCGTTTAAAGGGCCTGCTGGTTAAAACACTCAGCAGCTAGAGCCGGCAGGAGAACGAGGTGACAGCTTCCAGAAAGACTCAGCCTCAGAATCCCCTCCCTCAGAAACCCCTCGGGCAGACCAACTCCATGCAGAAGGTCATTGTGAGTCAGACTCAAGAACAGCGGGTTTGGAGGAGCTCTTTTTATATAAAACTATGTCAGTTATGTGCCATCCATTTTCCTCATCCCTTCTTAGGAATCTTCCTTTAACCTCTAACACAACTTCCTTTCCTTATGCCATTTCTAAGACACTTCGTAGACTAATGCATCCAACTAGGACCACTCTTGTAATAGTTTCCCCCCAACCAGGTCCCTACTTCGGTAACGAAGACTGCACTGGACAGCCAGGCTGAGCAGTGCTGGCAGAAGGAGTGGCCCTGCTGCTTCACAGACGGACGGTACCGTGCCCTTCCAGGCAGCCTTCCCAAGTCATTGTTTGTTATTCTTACACAGCACCCGGGGACGACATGCTGAACCTTGCATTTAGAAGATGCTGAGGACTCCCTAGTTCTAGATGATAAATTCAGTCAGCTGGTGATAGAAAGATCCCACCCCTGGCTTCATTTGTGTCCCCTCTCCTGCAGGGCCCAAGTAGTAAAATTCATCCACACAAGTTTTGACTATCTGACATATGCCATGTGTAAAAGAATTCTACTACAATGTTGTACAGTCTAGTCCTATAGTCTTTGGTTCAATGTAGTTTAAGGATATGCAATTCTTGAACACCTGAAAATTACCTATAAAACTTAAGGTTTCACAATCACATCCTCACCAAGTTTGCTTATTCTGGGAGATTATTTTTGCCTTTAATTGCTACACCTCAAAAACAGCACATTATGGTAACCTTTCTTCCGATGATTTCAATTACCATTATGAATTACTATAAAAGCCAACAGTGCCGTGAAAGAGGCAATAAATGAAATAGTTACTAGACTGTGGTAGTTACCATATATACTCGAGTATAAGCCGGCCCGAATATCAGCAGAGGCACCAAATTTTACCACCAAAACTGCATTAAAAAAATGTTCTGAAAAACTCGGCTTAGCTTTATAGAATTGATGTATGTATGGATTATGATAAGAGTTGTATGAGCCCCTAATAAGATGATTAAAAAGAAAAACTCGGCTTACAAATGATTTATATGGCACATAATCTGTTGTCGATTGGAGACTATTAGGAGTGAAGGGGTGGAGTTTAGCCTGTCAATCAGGTCGCAGTATGATGACCTCATGTGGCGGCACTAAGGCAATAAACAGCTCACTGGAAGGGGGAGACAAGCACACTCGCTGGGAGACATTCCTGTTGAGAAGACACGTGGAGCTACACTAGAGCCCTGGAGATGAAGAGGCCACACGCAGACCCATCAGCACTGAATGCTTCCACTGCCACTGGATCCACAAGACTTTCCACCTGCGATCTTTCTGCATTCGGCATCATTGCATGTGTTTTGTGAGTCTGAAGAGGAATTTATAAATTGGCATTGGACTTATGAGCTAATATTGAACTTGATCTGGACTGGGCTGGGATGTTTTCATAAAATACAATTACTCTGTATAGAAAGTGCTTTCATATGCACAAATGAGTGTCTATGAATTTGTTTCTCTAGTCCACCCAGACTGACACAGAGCCACAAAACCCCACTGCTGAAGCAGTTGTGATGGAAACCTAATATCCCCTAACACACATTGCTAACACTTTTCAAGTGGTTATATAGCACTTTGCTACTTCTTGCTGCTTAAATTCATTTCCCTAAAACACGAAGTAAAGTTTGCCGCCCCTGTAAGTGCAGCTACTGAGCACGAAAGGAGAAGCACTCACTGCTCTGGCAGCTTCCCCAAAGTCAATCTTCAGCCGTCCCATGGCTCTGATAATTGCAATGATGGACTGTATGGTGTTGCTGTAGACGACGACTTTGTACTGCTTACATTCCTCCTCTGAGTAGCCATCCTCGTGAATGATCCTTGAAAGAGAGGAAAACCACAAGTCATTACCATGAACCTACAATGAAAAGATACAATAGACTTAGCATGATTTTGAGGCAATCGAGCCTTACAAAAGGCCGGGTTCCGACTTACTTCATCTGCTTCACGATCGTGCTTTTACCAGATTCTCCAGCACCTGAAAGGGGAGAGAGGAGAAAAAGAACCACTTTGAAATTATACGTTATTACACACAGGTTTATGAAACGAAGATGAGCAGTTAAGTCTAGATTAATGGGAACCACATATCCCAAGGAAATCATGGGTGAAGCTTCCATGTCTATCAGCAAAACCCAGGAGCTTCTCCAATCGAGCATCTCACCCTCTTCCCATAGCAAATCTGTATGTGGGGCAGAGGACAACTGCCCCGCAGAATTTCTTCGGTTAAAAGTCTTACAGAAGCAGCCTGCCCTATTTTTCACCCACAGAATGTCTGGTGGGGTTGGAACCACTGGTTTTTTTAACAGCTGAACATTTCACCACTGGACCACCAGGTCTTCTTTCACTAGCAGTGTCCCAGGCCCTGCTTGTCAATACTTGTGTATGATCCAAACTCCTTGCCACCAAGTTGACTCCAACTCATAGCGATGCTACAGGACCAGGTACACCCAACCGTCCCTACAGATTTCTGAGTCTAACTCTTTATGGGAGTAGAAAGCCTCATTTTTTTTCCTCAAGGAGTGGCTGGTGGTTTCAAACTGAAACTGACCTTGTAGTTAGCAGCCCAACACCTAAAGCACTTCACCACCAGGGCTCCCGTGGCGTAAGACAGGTCAACTCAAAGAAAGATGATAGCATAACCACCCCTGGGCCCTCATCTTCCACAAGAAACACACAAGGAGCATCAACAGACATGAGACTGTGTTTGGGCCGATTCATTTTTTACTATGCCCTCTATAAATCCCAGCCATTAGACTAAAGAAAAAGCCGTGCAGGCATCTGTTCCCACCACTTTTCATTGCGCACCTCCACCTCTTCCCGGCACGATCCCTCTAACCTAATGAGCACCCATATCAAACAGACCCTCTAAACAACCCAAGTGCGCGTCCCGAGGCAGATTCACCCTTTTACTTACCAGGATGCCCGTTCGGCCCACCTCCCTCCACCTTTACAAAGCCCCCCCTCCCCAGTCGCATTCAACACCTGTCCTTCTTTTAAAGACAAAACTAAAGCAACCAGCATAAAACACACGAACATCGTATTTTCCATAACCAAATCTACCAATATATCGTCATCTAAATTAATTACTCTCTTACAGAAGGGATGAACTCTCTCTGCCAAGGTCTAAGATTAACCCCTCCGTGTGTGCACACGTTTCCACGTCATCTTACCTTCGCAGGACCCCAGCTGCTCCAATCACCCCACGACACTCAAACACCACCCCCTTTTCTCTTCCCATGGGTTCCTTCTCATCACCACATAAACATCTTTTGAATTAACGAAGGCCTACCCTCGTCTTCCCTTTCCTCCAGCCACCACTTCATTTCTGTTCTCTCTTACAGCAAGAAGCCTCAAACAAGTGGTGTAGAATCGCGTGAGTCTGTACTGACAACCTCTCTTTCCCCCAATTCAATCAGTCTTCCATTTACTCCACTGACTACTTCTCAGGGTCCCCAACAACTTCTACATCTCAATAAACCTACTCAGTCAGTTCCTGGTCCTCTTCTTATTCAACTTCTCAAGGAGCATTTGTCCAAGTTATTGACTTGAAATCTATTTTCACGACATCACACCCAACCTGTTTGATCTCACTCCTTCTCGGTCTCCTTGTCCTGTTTCTGAATCTAAAGGCTGCACTGCTCCAGAGTTCTGTTCTCTACCCTCTATCTTATCTTCTCTATCTCGGAGTTTTAAACATTATTCATCAACTGCTAAGAATAGTTAGCATCTAATGAGTTCTTACTATGTACTGGACAATATTCCAAGTACTGTAATTGTGTTAAATTACTTAATCCTCACCATATTCCTGTGAGGTAGGTATTGTTAGTTATCCCCCTTTTACAGATAATGTAACTGAAGCAGAGAGATGTTAAGGCCCCCACACACACTGTAAATGGCAGAGCTGAATAGGTACGGACACAATTCGGCTCAAATTGGTGTATGTGGCCTCAATTCTAATGGTTTCTAAATTTAAAGACCCATCCATCCTTGGCTTCTAACCTCGTCTGCAGGCTCATACATGTAAACCACCAACTTCATAAATCTCACCAGCTTACTGGAATGCAACTCAAAAACTTAATATGCCCAAATTTAAATGATTGGCTCTCTACCCTGACTCCAAAACAAACTCTTCTCTTCCCTCAGCGTCTTCATCTCTGTATTCACCCAGTTGGTTGGGCCAATGATGGTGACATGTGACTAACATACAGATGAGATGGGGCACACCAATGCCAATCTATATATTAAACATTAATAAAGCTTTAAAAAAATCAAGGTAGGTAAAACATATAGATAGCAGTTCTAACGCTCACTCATCCCACTGCCATCAAGTAGATGCTGACTCACAGCAACCCAAAAAGACAGGTTTGAACTGCCCCTGAGTTTCGAGACTGTGAGTCTTTATAGGAAGAGAGAGCTCAGATTTTCTCCCTAGGAGTGGCTTGCGGTTTTGAACTGCTGACCTTGTGGATTGCAGTTCAAAGAGTAATCACTATGCCACCAGAGCTCCTCAGAAGTTCTAATAGTTTCTTAAAAGCTCAGTGTGAGTTAACTATTGATCTCTTATCATCCAGAAGAAAGAAGAGTGAGGAAACACATAGGGAAACAACTAGTCCCAAAGACTAATGAGCCATGCCATCATCAGTTTCCACAAGTCAGCACCTGGAAGAACCAGATGGTGCCCAGCTACCTACCACTACTAATTGCTCGGAGAGGATCACTTGATAACTATGTCTTGCTCAAATTAAGCCCTGGTGGAGTACTGGTTATACACTGGACTGCTCACTGCAAGGTCAGCAGTTTGAAACCACCAGCCACTCCTTGGGAGAAAGATGAGGCTTTCTACTTCTGTAAAGATTTACAGTCTCGGAAACCCCCAGGGGCAGTTCCTACTCCATCTTTTGGGTCAAGGAGTTGGTCCTGAATCCAGTGGGAGCAGAATGTAGAACAGAACTCAAAATCCTAAGTGAGACTGGGCCTACTGGTTAAAGAGACATTGGTGGAACACCCTGAGACAATGGCCCTTACCCATTAGGTCTAGAAATGAACCATTTAGGAACAATAGGGCAGCATTTACCAAAGAACAAAGTTCAAAGGGTCGAGTAAGGAGGAAGAACACACAGTTAATGGCAGACGTATCGCACACTGAGTAGACTGGAAGAATGTACATATACTGCTGAATGTAGAACTATGTAAGCCTTCCCCTAATTCACAATACAAAGTTTAAAATGAACGAAGTTCGATCAGTTGTTCTTATACTATAATGATCGTTATGAGTATACTGGACCCACCGGGCTGGGTCACTCAAAACCTCCATAAATGGTACAATGCTCAGATCTTGCTCGCCTCTAGTCAGTTTCCTGCTTAGCTGCTGGATTAACTCTGTAAAATGTAGATCAGATTATGTCACAACTATGTCTAAAAGACTTCCAATGGCCTCTTATTAAGCTTAAAATTAAACCCAAGGTAAATGAAGTCCAATATGCTCTGGTCCCTGCCTCCCTCTTTTCTTTTAAAAATCATTTTATTGTGGGGCACTTACAACTCTTATCACAATCCATCCATCCATTGTCAAGCACATTTGTACATTTGTTGCCACCATCATTCTCAAAACATTTGCTTTCTACTTGGGCCCTTGTTTGTCAGCTCATTTCTCCCCTCCCTCCCTACCCCCACCTCCTTCACAAACCCGATAATTTATAAATTATTATTTTGTCATATCTTACACTGT